GAGATCCTTTAAAAAGTTAGTGATAGACGAGATCCGCCCTTGTATAAGTTGATATTATAACATTAAGCTGAGGTCCAACAGTGTTGCCAGTGTTTATTCTGTCACTGGAGGATATTTTTATGGCGTTGCCGCCTAACCATGAGTCAACAATGATATGATATCGCCCCAACAACTAGATAACTTGAAACTCGAGTTTTGAGAATATCCACTTTAAAGATTTAAAACGCAAAAAAATTACAGCTGTTAAGTAATCAGATAATATCATAGATGTTAAATATTTTTGATTACTTAACAGCTGTAATTTGTTTCGTTTTAAATCTTTAAAGTGGATTTTCTCAAAACTATAAATTTCAAGTTATCTAGTTGTTGAACTAAGGGGACGATATGACTTCTGATTTCCAAACTGTTCGATTAATAAAGTATTTGTCTTTTTTAATTCTAAATAGGTACTACAATTTTAAAGTTACAAATTGGATTTTCAAATGTACTTTTACATTTCAAATAAAACCACAAACAAATAAAAAGTGGCTTGCGTTTTCCGTTTGTTATTTCAAGCAAATAATTTTCTTCGTTATATGTTTAAATAATTTCGCGATCGTCAAAAAAATATATTTTTTCACATTTTTTACACTTGATATTGTTATACAGGGTGTCTGGAAAAAAGAGGTCAATCCTTTAACCATATATTCCTTGAGTTAAAACAATTACACTTTTATAATACCATTTTTCAATTTAGAGCTTCATGTTCGATATACAGGGCGATAAAGTTTGAAATTTAAAATTGATTTATATTAATAATTCGAGTAATTGATAAAATATTAAGTTCAAATTAGGTACACTACTTCAACATAAAAAGTTGAGGACAACAAAACAAAAAACAATTGTCAAAAAATCAAAATAGGGTGGTACAGTACTCACTGACCCCCACTCTTTTTAGTACGTGCGCCAGTGACTTCCAAACGGTATTTTTTTCAGGTAGGTAATCACTTATTGTTGATTATTTTTTGTCTCTTATAAATTTTTATGGTTTTTCATACCAATTCCAGTGACCCATTTGAGTTAATAACAAGGGCTTTCTATACTATAAAGATAATATAATCCCCAAGTACAATTGCACAACAAACTTATTTTGTCTTTATAAACTGATCTTTTAACAATAAAGTCCCTGTGTAGAAATTAAATTGATTTAAAAACCCTATTCGTGAAACCGTAAGCAAAAGTCGACGCCATACCAACCATAATTGGGTTGGATGTATACATCTGAAGATTTTGCAAATAATCGCTGCAGTAAAACTGGAGGATCAGAGTGTAAAACAAAAAATATAAAGTTTCAAAAATAAAAAAAGTATCTTTTTGTACTGCTTAATTACACAATTTCATGTACATTAAAAATTACCTGGATGCGGTCTGGATGGGTTGATGGTATCTTTGTAGACCAAAAAGTTATGACCATTTGAATGACTCGTTCGCGTAATCTGTATTAACTTACTTCGCCTTTCACCAATAAGTAATATAATTTTTGTTTTATTTTTATTCAAAAATACAAGAACGTCAAACGGCAAACAACTTTATTGGAATTCGCAAATTCCAAACAATTTGTAAGTAAATTATTTGGATTTGACATCGAAAAATGAAAAAAACGAAAAATCCTATACTTTGTTATCTATGTCGATCAATCCAACAGTTCTTTGTTTTGGGGAGGGAATAAATCCAAAATCTGCCAGAGAAGTGGTTACTCTACTAGGTTTAAAGATGTTAAATACACTGGGTATCCTTGATGTTTACATGGAAAATGTTGTTGTTCTACATAATGACCCAAGCAATATTCCTGGAGAAAGCATAAGTGATATTTTAAGCCCTGACCCTGTCAAAAAAATGAAGTAATTAAGGCAAAACTGATTTAGATTTAATTTTTTACTAAATGTGATATAATATTAACCTTTGTTAGAAATATAAACTAAAATAAAAAAATACATATATGTATATAAAATATATATATTTTAAATGGAAAATAGATATTTATAATATAATATTACAATTCTACTAGAAAACTACCCAAAAAAATCATTTATAAAAATATTCTTATATATTTAAAAATATTATTTATATTAACACTCTACTATTATGCTTAAATACTTGATTTACCGTTTTAGTTGCAATAGTTCGTGTGAATTTGTTTACCTTATTGAATTCAAAACTTTTTATTTAAAATAAAATTTAATATTTAAATTGATTGTTATTATTTTGAAAATATTTTTAAATTATTTTTAAAAGGAATTATTTGCTGTTAATTAAATGATTATTTTTACAAAATAAGTCATATTTTTCATATAACCATATAAAAATACGATAAAACGTAAAATTTTTATCTAAAATATTAATAAATGCGACTTTTCTGGATGTTTTATTGGTTATAAAAATTTAGCATTTGATCATCAATTATAATTTTCCTTAAAAAAACATTTAAATAAATATTAATGGCAAAGTAATACAGATTAGGTACGCCAACGAGACAAACTTTAAACGGCCATAGCTTTTAAAGTCGAGCAAACTTTTTAAAATCCTTTGGGGGTTTTGAGTTTTGGTATCCTAGTTGTGTTTTATAAAGTTTTGCCTTTTTTAATTTAAAATACTTCAATATTAAACTTATTAAAAAATAAAATGTGTTTTGCATTTTTTGTTTGTTAATTTAAGCACGTTATGTTAAACAAGATATCGGCCAGACTTCTCTGTAACTATCGGTCCGATAAACCTTTTCTTTCGCGCCTAAATTTTGCAAATCATGCAAATATTTTTAAGATTGGTCTGCGATCATCGCAGAAGCTTTAGTATTGGCTTTAGTATTAAACCATTTATTTCGTGAATATGTCCTTAAGATTTTGAGGTGGGGAATGGTTTAAATATTATTGCATGTATCATGACGATGTGGAAGTATGAATCTTATAAAAATGTTTTTTAATAATATTATTTTTTAATAAACAATAAAATATATTTTTATTTATTTATTTTACTGCTACAAATTGTAACTGTAATTTGTTTAATTTACGATAAAAAAAAACAAAAATTTCTGTTAAACATGTTTATTAACTTCGTTGTAAAAAATATTACAAAACATGGAAGTGTTGATAATAATTATTACAAATTATTATAATATTTGAATCGGTGAGAATAAGAACAGTACAAGTCGAAAAATTTTATTTTAACAACTCATTTTCTAAAATCAATTTAAAAGTTTAAAATGCATTTTTGTGAGAAAATATAAATCATTTTACAAAATATGATTATTATATTTTGTAAAATGATTGATATCTTATCACAAAAATGCATTTTAAACTTTTAAATTGATTTTAGAAAATGAGTTGTCAAAATAATATTTTTGGACATGTACTGTTCTTTTTCTCACCGATTCAATTATTACAACAAATTTAAAAACATTAAAATGGGTACATTAAAAATTGGTTAAAAATATAAAATTGAATTTAAAAATTACACAATGCAGGTTCCCGTGTATACCCTCTGGCATGACATTGGGCCCACAAGGATCGCCTTCGTCTTCTTGGAATGTTTGTACAGAAACAATTTACTAAAAATTCTACTTTAATACCTCGCTCATTTGGATTACTTTTTACTTGCACACATCTTATTTCAGCTCCTTGGGGACATCTCCTTTTAAATTCTCTTTGCACAGCAGAAATATACTGACAACCAGTTTCATATTCGTTGTTATCTCGAGTAAATGTGGCAATCCACCGATGGGGGTTTCTTCCTGTCGTTGTCATTGCTTCAACCTCACCCAAGATGTACCCTGCCGGTGTTGCATCTTGAATAATTTCCCTTGCTTGGTCCATATGTCGTTGATCCACATTCTCGGTACACGGCAAATAATTAATGGCCAATGCAGGAAGAAACAAATAAAAAAACACGTAAAAACTCGTCACAGTCGACATCTAAAATAAAATGTTACTTATTGTTACTTATTTTGACACAACTTTTTCCTAATAATTAATGGATTTTTAAATTACAATTAGGTTATTTTTAAAGATTAAAAAAAGGACTGTGGTTTAAAAATATTACTAAATACAAATAAACTAATAAACTTGTAAACTTATTTTATTTAAGCATATGTATTATTATTTATTATTAAATTAAATTCACTTTCAAAAATAAAAAATATTTACAATTTAGAAGTTATGCTAATCCAATATTAAATTAAACACCTACCTTTTACAACGAAGCACAGAGTTAGAGATGTTTAACAGAAAAAAAAAGAAACGAGTCTTTACTCGCCCATTTTATATCATCTGCGGCACAACGTTGCCACTTTGATAGGATCTCAGCTTATGCTTTATTTATCATTGCTGCAAAATGTTTTGGAGCGCCACCTTGCATGAAACGCTTAAAGTAAATTTATATAAGAAAGGAAAAAAATGTGAAAAATGAGATCCAGACAAAAATTGCTAAACAATCATATTTAACACCACTGATCACTCTGACAAAAATATACACACGATGCAAGATGAGATCCGAATTCGGATCCCGACTTTCCAAACGGATCTCATCTTGAACGAAAAATATCATAAACGGATCTCAGCTTGTGCAGATTATATATATATATATATATATATTTTTTTTTAATGTTGACAATTGTTTCGCTACACAGTAACTAGCTTCTTTTAAATCTATGCCGAATAAAATTTTCTTAAAACCATTAAGTTAATTTATAGGAGCGTTTTTCTGACCTCATGTTAAATTTCATTGTTAGGGATACCTGGTTCTTGCGCTGGAACCCCCGAATAAAATTTTCTTAAAACCATTAAGTTAATTTATAGGAGCGTTTTTCTGACCTCATGTTAAATTTCATTGTTAGGGATACCTGGTTCTTGCGCTGGAACCCTCAATAATCTTTAAGATTTTAACATTCATGCACTGACAAAATAAAACAAAGGACACAATTTAAAAGTAATTTAAGCTATACATAAAAAATATTCAATTACATTTACCATTTCGTTTGCTTGTTAAAATCGCAAAAATGTAGATCAAATTCGCCAAACTCCCAAAAAAAGCAAAAACAAAATAAAAATTAACAGTCCACTGTGGCACGGTATCGCTACCAGTACCATTACTGGACAAAATATTATCTTCCAAAGTAGAATTAATTTGTACACTATTATAATTCTCTGAGTTATTAAACCTATTCATTTTCACTGAAACATTTTACTAACTGGCACAGAGCATAAGCTGCTTCATATTTGAGTGGCATAAATAAAAGAAAGAAAAGAGAACGAAAGCAAAGGAAAGGGACAGATCTTCATGCGTTAGTCCGTCTGAGAAGTAATTTATACCCGTGGTTTATTCTCGGCCTTTTACAACACTTGATAACAAAGCATCGAACACATGGGCGTACTGAACTTATACTTATACTAAAATAAAATTTTACCTAACATGCTTGTTTTGCAATATATAGCAAAAATAATACAAGGAGAAGCAGTATAAAATTTTTCAATGTGATAAAAATTATGGATTCTTAATAACATTAAATAATATTGTACAGGGTGGCCCATCGAAAACAGTCCAGCAAGGTTTACTGGTTTGTATGAAAATTAAAAAAAAATCTTCGGACCCGTATACTTTTGTATTCAGGGGACATGCATATTTACACATCAACAATGTTTTTGATGGGCCACCCTGTATATTATGTTCAAGTTTAGCAATTCTTTAAATCAACAAGACCGGACCTTTTCTGGGAGCATGTACACGTCTTATTTTAAAAAAATTCCTAATTTTTCATTTTCATATTTTTAATTTTTTTTTTCATTATTTTTAAATAAATCCAGTATAAAATCCAATAAAATTACAAATTTGTTTTTAAGTTAAAATTTTCTGTTTATTTGGCGTTTTTAATAATAAATAATAATAATTTGTTTGTTTTCACTTGTAGAATACGGTATTACACTAATGGAGAGTGGATCAAAATTTTGATATTTTAAAAATATCGCAGCGCTACTGTTAAATCCTCTTTTATTGGACAACGTACTGAGTCAAATAAAAAGAAAACATCTCATTCAATAAATAACTCGTGTGTTCAATTTCTTAAGCTGTCTTTATGCGTTAATTTTTTCTTGATGGACTAAAAACATGTAATGAATATCCATTTCATAAACATTCATCGACAATATTGTGCATAAAAATAAAACATTTTTGGGCTTTGGGTAATAATAATTTAAAAACATTAAACTGATACACAACGAGTACCAAAACAACGTCTTTTAAAATACGTTGCAACGATATTGACGACGCTCTTATCGTTTATCACCGCTCCAACATAATATACAATATTATCACAGACCTGTGTATATTATAGAGTATACTCGCGGCCTTATAACTATAGTTGAAATAAAATTCTGAGTTTAAATATTAAAAGTCAAGGTTTATTAAAATATAACAATAATAAGACAACTTTTGCACATTTCCTATGGCCTTGGTGCCTCTATAATACATCGGGAATCGGGAAAATTGAATAGTCAATATATACAGGGTGTATTTAGTCATAAGTGGTGAACTTCCCGAAAGGTGCATGTAGGGGGGCCTTAATATATGTAGGGAAAAATGTTTAAAAAAATCTATCTGCTTTGGTACCCCTGTTAAAAATCACCCATAAAGACCAATAGAAAAGCTATTGGGATTTTCCAGCGGCAGCTCTATTGGTTTGAATTGGTCTCAATAGTGGTATCTGTACCATGAATTACCTTGAATTGGGACACCGCTGGAAAATCCCAATACAGACCGATAGAGACTAATCGTATTTTATTGGTAATTCTCAATAGATATATTATAGATATATTTTATTGGTAATTCCCAATAGAGCTATTTGGATTTTCTAGAGGTACCGCTATTGGTTTGAATTGGTCCCCACTATCCATTTTAGACGTCTTTAAGGTAAAAAATTACGTGTTTTGATGGTTAAATAACTTCTCAAAAATAGTGCTGTTTAACATTTAATTTAAATTTTATAAATAGCTTCTGCTAAAAGTAAGTAGTGGGGCCCACTGCTTACTTTTCGAAGAGTGGGCCACAGGACGATCTGTGCCCCTTTAAAAATTCCAAAACGCCAAGCGTTTCCATGGCCAGTAATTTTGCCTTAGTAAGGAATCCTTACTTAGCAGCTCAAGGCATTCCACCTTTATAGGCCTATGTATTGTGCTACAGAGGCGAGAGGTATGCATGGGTTGCCTACCTATTGGCGAATTTTGAAAATAAATATTAAAGTGGTAGGTATATACCAATAGGGTTCCTTGTACCTACACACCGATAAAATACCAATTCATACCATTAGTTTATCTATTGGTATTTTCCAGTAAGAAAATTGACAATAGAAACAAGTGGTCATTTGTATTAAATTGCGCAGGCGCTGAACATTTAAGTGGTATTTACCAATTGAATTTCAATTGGGAATTTCCTGTACTTGTAACTTCTTATAAAAACCAATTCAGACCATTAGGTAATCTATTGGCATTTTCCAGTACGGAAATTACCAATAGAAACCAATGCTCATTCTGTTGAGAAACCAATAGGCCCAATAAAGACCAATTCATTCCATTCTGATTTTTTATTGGTTTCTATTGGTCTCTATGGGTGATTTTTAACAGGGACTCGAGTTATGGCCAAGAACTCAAAAGAGAATTTTGGCAACGTGTAAACACTGACAATGTTACAGGAAATTATTAGATTTCATTTTAATTGAAGTAACTATAGTTATAAGGAACTTATTTGAATTGTTACGCGCTTATATTGTTGACATTACTGTCATAATAACAGCCGGCAAATGAAAGTTGTGATTATAATACTTAAATAATAATAAATAAAACCAAAATCAAACAAAATAAAAATTTATGAAAAAAAATAACAAACATTCCAAAAATTGCTCGAATTAATGCCCCTGATTTTCCAAACACAATTCCAGTCTTGTTCTTGTACTAACTTGTACTTGGGTCAACATTTCTGGGGTCACAGTTGTTAAAGCATTTCGAATACGCAGTATTAGTTCCTCCTCATTATGTATAGCGGTGTTTGGTACACCAATGCTTTAACATGACCCCATAAGAAGAAGTCAAGCGGGGTCAAATCTGGCGACCTAGGAGGCCAAGAAACTGGGCCGTTACGAACTATCCACCTGTTAGGATACTGTTTATTTAGCCAATTTCTAACAGGAGCGGCAAAATGATGTGGGGCACCAACCAGTTGTATCCACATGTTGCGCAATGTGGCCAAGGGTAAATTGTCAATTTCATTAAAAATTTCGTTCTCCAAAATATTTAAAAATTGATCTCCATTCAACCGCCGCGGTAATATGATAGGCCCAATAACCCAATTTTTAATTATCCCAACCCAAACATTTACACTGAAGCGATTTTGATGATTTTTTCCCTCATTATAATATGAACCAATGAAAAGCCTTGAATTTTCGAATAAATTTCGTTTAAATAAGCGATTAAATCAATAGAACTATTTAACAGCGATTAAATTTTAGCCTCCATATTGGATTTTTGTTTACGATTTTATGGTGTTATTTACAAGTTTTAACAAACATTTTTTAAAAAACAATAAAAAATAAGTTATCTTGTTTACGAAATATCAATTATTACTTATTACAATACTTTCAATTAATGGAATTTTCTTTAAAAAAATATTTATAAATTTTGACACATACGTCAGATTTTATGAATTAGCAAATAGTTTCCTTTAATTCGAGAAATAATCTAGACGTATATCACTCAACCTATAAATTTAATCTGTCAAACTATGCTCAGTAAGTTTTTTATTTGATTTTTCTTTTTGGAAAATAGTTTCATGCAAAATAATTAAAAATAAAACCCCTCGACCGCTACGCGGTCTCGTGATTTTATTAAATTATTTTGCATTCAACATTTTCCAACAAAAACCAAACAAAAAACTACTGAGCCTAGTTTAACCGATTAAATTCATAGTTCTCATGATATAATATATGATTATTTCCCTCATTATAATATGAACCAATCAAAAGACTTGAATTTTCGAATAAATTTCGTTTACATAAGCGCTTAAATCACTAAAACTATTTAACAGCGACTATTCCACTCATTACTTTTTGGACCAATCAGATTTCAGAAAACGAGTGGTTTTTTCAGTTTTGCAGCGATAAAACTACTATTCAGGTGAAAAAACCACTCGTTTATACGAGTTGCATAACAACCAATTGGTTGCTATGATAAAAATAATTGTCACTGTTGACGTTTTTAATTTTAAAATTAAAATGTTAAAAAATATGCGTTTTGGTCCAAAAAATCATACAGAAATTGAATCAGCAGTTAAAAATATTCGTGAAATAGTCTTGCCGAATACCACTCGTGATAAAATTTTCCCTGAAAAAATTTTTGATTTTTATTTACTCAAGATTTTTCCTTGGAAATTTCGCTCGTGGCATTAACTTCAAACCACTCGCCTAGCGGCTCGTGGTCTTAAAAATTAATGCCACTTGCGAAATTTCCAAGAAAAAAACATTCGTATAAAAATCAAAAATTTTATCGGTAAAATTTTACCACTAGTGGTATTATATACGATTAAATTTTAGCCTCCATATTGGATTTTTGTTTACGATTTTATGGTGTTATTTACAAGTTTTAACAAACATTTTTTAAAAAACAATAAAAATAAGTTATCTAGTTTACGAAATATCAATTATTACTTATTACATACCTTAAATTAATGGAATTTTCTTTTAAAAAATATTTATAAATTTTGACACATACGTCAGATTTTAGGAATTGTCAAATAGTTTCCTTTAATTCGAGAAATAATCTAGACGTATATCACTCAACCCATAAATTTAATCTGTCAAACTATGCTCAGTAAGTTTTTTATTTGATTTTTCTTTTTGGAAAAAAAAATTTGCCTTATCAGTCCATAAAATACGAGTTAAAAAATCATCATCCTCATTAATTTTTCCCAATAACCAATTACAAAAATTTAAACGTAAACCCTGCTTAAAATACCCCATAGAGACCCTGTTCAAACCGATAGATATTCGTATCGGGATGTATGGTGTTTCTATAGGGTGTATCGGTTTGTATAGGACCCGTAGTTGAGATTTATGGTTGTTCTATAGGGATATCCACCATTGATTTATTTGCTATCGGTTTCAATGGGGAAAATACACATAAATGTAGAAATTAGTTTTTTCCC